GAGCAAGCTAACATCTACAGCTTGTCAGTGTAGCTGTAGTAGTTGAATGCACTCCATTGCACTTGCACTGAGCTGAAGCCGTTGACCCTGAACCGCTTACGTCAAGCTGAAGTTGGAAAACTCTTGCATATAAGTTTTTTACATATTTATTTACTTAATTATGTTATAAATAAGAAGTCATATGCTAATTATTCAATTAAACTGAAGAGCTACAACGTGTTCAAATAACCTGAGTACTCTTTAAGAATAGAAATTTTGTTTTTATTATTTAAATCTATGTATATTTAAAAAAAAAAAACAAGAAAAACAGAAAAGTTTAGACATATATACAAAATAGTAGGAAATAAATATTGTGCATTAAACTTTTACTTAATATTATTATATTAGCATATTGACGAAAAGGTTCTTTTTATTTGTTATTACATAAAACTTTTAAAATATCTCTTACACAATTTATTTTGATTAACAATTTGTTTAATTAAACATATTTATTTTGCTGAGAACACATCATAGTATATTGTAGTGTAATTTTCTCTCTTTTATCAATAAAAATCTGACTAACATTGACTGTTATATGGCAAAATCAAACTCACGACCTCTAGCATAGAATTCAGTTAAACGAAGATAATTATTATAAAAAACACACCTATAATTACATAATAATATATAAACAACTTTTCCTTATCCTTATTTAACTAACAAGCAATCCGATATAATAAAAATCTAACAAAGCGAAAAATTATATAATATAGCTATTTCTGTATTTACTACGAAACATTTAAGCTTCTCATGTAATAGGTACTACGTAATATGCTGTTCAATGAACCCCCGGTCGGAGCCCTCAAAGAGAGCGGTTACATCATGTCACAGACCGTTGCAGAAAAATATTTGAACACTTCATTTCTAACTACAATTTACATTTTACCATAAAAATAAAAATTGTAAACGATAAAAATATTACTATTTCAACTTTCTTTAACTTTGCAATATGCTCTGCATGTTGCAAGTTTACAATAAAATTGCATGCGGTATAGAATTTCGTTTTGTTATTTCAAGCATAATAATTTAAAGACTCAAATATTATTCTTCAAATATTTACTGAGAGTTACTTTTGAAATTTGATGGGACTAGACATTCTGATATGGACACGGACGAAAGTTTTATGCAAATAGCGCGGTTGTATACATTTAGTACCTTTTGTCTTTGCTTTGTAAATTAAAAAAAAAAGAATATAAATATATATTTATTAAAATTTATTGAGTTATGAAAACCATGCAGGTGCACAATCAGACGGAACTGCTTCCGTATTTATAATATATTGGGTTTAATATATTGCATTTTAACGGTTTATTCAAAACGTACCTAGCTAGTCAAGCTTGTAAACCGCTAGTTTATCATATTAATGGCATTGTTCAAATAGATATATATGTTAGCACCAACTTTGCTCTAATTCGTAAAAGTATTCTAAGATATAAAATGTAAATGCAACTAATACGTATTAATTTTGCATCTCTCGTTTATAGTTCAAAGTAATTAAATGGATTACAGCATATGCTACGGATTAGTTGCAAATGAGATTTGTCGGTAGAGCTTGTTGTTGGATTAATTAATTATTATAAAGAGTAGACTTGTGACTTGTTAATATTATATTCTGACTTATTATTAACTATCTCGTAGATTTAGTGGCTAGTATGTACGGCTTCATACTCGGAAATTCTGGGTGCGAGTCCTGAGTCGGGCTAACCATAGTTATTTCGTTATCAAGAAATTTTCAGTACAATCTCGGAGTTTTGAAGTTTTCAGTGTTTTTACCCATCCCGGAAAACACGAAATCGAATTATCGTCCCACTGGAGTTTAAGAGTGAATGAAATAGAGTCCACGTGAGTTTGTGTACACTTGTGCACTATAATAAAGTGCAAGCCAGAATCTGCCTTGACTAGTTATTTACTGTTATATTTTAGAGGAAACCCTTTTATTATAGTTTTTAGTTATTGGTGGGATTATGTTAAAAATATTATTAAAAGTTAACTTTATAACCATACCAAAGAAAGCTATATATTACCATTTCTAAGATAAATCTTAGTGACGTTTCCAAATATACGAGTATATAGGTTGTTATTTAAGTTTTTTTGTTGATGGCTGCTAGAAAAAAGTAAAATATTTAAGTAAATAGGATCAAGTTATCGGTCACATCTATGTTCCATCCAGCAACAGCAGCGGGGTGAACAATCTCTTAACTGACCTACAAGCACGTTTGACATGAAACCACTATCACTAATATATGCAATTCCATGACTAGAGCTTAGAGGTGTACGCTCGATAAATGACAAGTGTTTAGCTGAAACTTTACATTGAATTTAATTATATTGCTTTTTGTATACATGCGATATATTCATTGTAAGTTTTAGAGAAGTTTTTTGCGCTACTTACAATATTGAAATAAAAATAATGTTTGGTGCAACTATTACAAAATATATGCATCGTTGTAAAATTTGATAAAATATTTATTCTATGTGTCATCACTTATTTTTTATTGTTATTTTTGATTGAATACAGTATTAAAGTACGTGGTAAATTATATATACTATCAAATCTATGCATATAATAAAATTGTAACTAAGTTGAATCTGTACATTAAATATTTTTTGGAAAATCTAATTGAAATAGACATTATTATCGATACAAAGTCCGAATCTATAGTTTTTAAAATTTTTGTCTGTCTGTCTGTTACCACATCACGAGAAAACCACTGGACAGATTTTGATGAAATTTGGTATGATGATAGCTGGTAATCCGGGTCAACATATAGGACTTTTTACCGTGGGAAAATATCTCATTTCTGAGAAAAAATACAAAAACTGCAATGTAAGAGGACACTAATATATAAAACCTAAGAATTTGGTTTTTGGTCTTCTGAACGCGGGTGGAGCCGCGGGCAATGCTAATTAAAAAAAAATATACACTACAAATTACGAATACTAGATATATAAGATATATCTGCATATACCAACAATATTATACGTTTTTTGTTTAGTTCTTATATCCATACTAATATTACGAGTATAAATGTGAAAGTGTGTTTGTTTGTTTGTTTTTTTGTTTGTTTGTTTGTTTGTTTGTTTGTTTGTTTGTTTGTTTGACCTTCTTTCACGTCGAAACGCAATAATGGATTAGCGTGATTTTTTGTGTGGAGATGTTTGGAGGGCTGGAGAGTGACATAGGCTACTTTTTATCGCGGGAGATCATCTAATTCCCACGGGAAAACAAGTTATAATACAACCCAAAAAAAATTATGATCAGAATTACTTCAAACTTGGTATTAATGCTCTTCAATACAATTAAATAAATATGTATTTTAGCATTTTTTGAAATACATTCTATAAGTAGGTGAAATATCCGATGAAAGTTTGTATGAAACCTACCTTTTTAGTTTTTTTTTGTAGTTTTGGCGCGAGTGAAGCCATGGGTTCTGCTAGTAACATATAAGATACGAAGTTAGATATGTAAATGTTATATCCTACGCTTAACTTATATTTGGTAAAATCCTAAATTGCCTGCTGAATGCTAAGAGTAGTAATAAAAATGAAACTTTTCAGGTAACACGTTGTATTAGACAAAAAAATCGCGTGATCTACCGACCTTATATTTTAAAAGATGAGCCACGAAGAATTTTTTCGAAAAAAACCTTTGTCAGTGTGCAAACGAAATTTTTCACAGAACTCCGGGTGAACATTTTCTCCCTATTGCGAAGCAGCATTGAATTCTTTTGAATCATTAATAACTTTCTATCCGATGTTCATTTCGTGCACTAAGCAGTCGCATGATACATTTTCTAATCGTACAGCCTCCGTGCACCTGTCAAAAGGTAATGAAAAAATATTTTACGTAAATGAAATCGTATGAGTGTTTGTAATTTTGTTGTATTTTAATACAAAACTCTAACAGTATTTACTTTATAAACGTGATAATTGTACCATATTAGTGTGGTAGCGAGTTTAGATTTGAAAAGTTAATGTCCAGCTGATTGCGAATGATAAAATTTAATATAAAAAATCTATTATTTACAGCTTTTTAGTTTTGGACAGTTACACATGTTTAGCTTTTATTTAACAATTTGATATCCTAAATTATTTTTAAACGTTTAAGTTGTATATATTTTTGTAATTGCTTCTTAAAAACCTTTACCCACTCGATTGATTTGGACGAACATTTTTTTTAAAACACAAATGTTAATTTGTGTTTTAAAAAAAATCCTAAGATCGCCTAAGATCCGTCATTTTATTTTTAATGATAGATGACATATGAATAATCAAAATCGGTTAAACTGTTGGTTTTGTAATAACGAGGGAACATAGGATAGGATGGAGTTGAGCAAAAATGACGAAAAGATGAATAGGCTGTATGTTGATTCCCGTAACACTTAACGAGAACGACTAGACCGATTTGGCCAATTTTTGTTTGTAACAATAAACAAGTTTTATAAGAATTAATTTTTTTAACCGAAACTTTTGATAATTAATATACGTAATACGGAAAGAACTGAAAGTTCTTTTTTCTAAACACAAGCAAGCTTATGTTATGACAGACGATTATTTTTAAAGGACTGGACAATGTCTGTCCAAAGTACGTGGACAAAATATTTTGGTACTTAAATAAAATTAAAAGAAACATTACACAAATTATATTCCCAGATACTATATTCGATAAAAAGAACACGCACTTCCATTAAAGTAAATACAATAGCAATAAGCTATAAAAAAGTTATTTATTAAAGGTTATTGATGACCTGCCACCCTATTCTGATAGAAGGTCGATATGTGATTGGAAAAGGTCTACAACTCCACTTTCTGATTTTATACGAGCTATATGACCTATATAAATATTGTCAGAGGGTTTAAAAAGAAATTTTATTTCATTGACGGCAGTGACGTTAATATCAATCATCAATCGATCAATTGGTGAAAAGTACCATTTTTCATTTATTATATTTGTAAATACAATGGCTGAAATAGAAAGGAAAAAGAGCAAAGTTTCCGTTATGCGTCTCAAGAGTAACCAATTCAATAGGTCGCAAATGGCACTTGGGCCAAAATCTCTTAGTAGACTAAAAGTTAGAAGACAGTCTTTTGGCTTTTCTGGAGTCCCCGGGATAAGACCAGTCGAACGGAATTCACAGGTAATGAAAACTTGACACTAACTATTCATGTATATTTGAACAAAGAAAATAAAACAGTTAATTCAAAGTAGTTACCCCATTACCAAGATAACAATTTTTTTTGTTTACCCTTCTATTTGTAACCGCTAGCTTTTAGAATTGCTGATCAGATTTTATTAGGATCTACACTTGTTATTATTTGACTCAAGCGAGATTGTTTATGTTTGTGCTTCTAACCATATACATATCTTCATCAATTGTGAAGCAATTTTCAAAAGTCGTTGTTTTCTTTAATTAAGAATATTATTGTGTATAGGAAGAATATATATTGCCGCGGATAGAAATAGAAAGAACAGCTTTGAGCTAGAATGACTGGCTAATTTTATTATTGAACTTGAGAGCTCAACAAGTGCGAGCGCTAGTACATAAATGACATGCGAATTAATTTATATACTAAAAGCTTTTTCCTACAGTAAATGCGCTTTGTAATATTCTAATACATGCAACTAATACCTTTTATATTAGTATACACTATTATAAACTCTTCTGTATTCTAAATGAATATAACAATGATATAAAATTTAATTGTATTTATTTATGCAACTTTAAAAGTATAGATTCGTATAGGGATATATCTCGCGAGATCGACGGAGAGATTAATTTGAATTTTTACTGTTATACGTTCACTTAGTAAGATTTTAATCACGTTTGTAAGCTAGAATAAATTTTATACTCACTAGTATTTCCATATTATATAAAATTCCTTCTTTGTATCGTAACTATTCCGACTAACATTTTCCACACCATAGAATTTGGTCCCATTTCGAAATGCCTTCAAATTCGTACTACTCGTAGATCTTTTGTAGATTTTTAAGACAATGTTATGCAAAAGTTTTGCTATAGCTAAGATTAAACTTACACATCTTGGGTCGGTTTTTGACTTTACGGATTATTATTTTATCATCTATTATAGTTTTTGGTATGCCAGATATTTTGCAAATATGTTCGAATTTTATAATTTTATGTGTGATTAATAGCATTTTGTCTGTATTTTTTAGGTAGCAATTGAGTTCAAGCGTCCACCACTCACTCATTTACCTACCTACCAACTGGACCCATCGTACAAATTCGATGTTCCAACAGTTAAAAAAATCATTGAACAATTGTTAGATGATAATTTTACTGATCACAAGTACAATATACAGGTGCTACATACATATTTTTAAAATTATGTACACAAAAATGTGTACATTTTATATTTGAAAATGGTAAGAATTGTCGTTTCCAACATGTTCTAATTACATAAAATTTTATATTCATTGATATACGAAATACATTTTGTTTATAATTGACTCGGAATCTAGTGGTTAGCATATACGGCTGCTGATCTGGAGGTTCTAGGTTCGAATCTTGATAAAGCTAACTATAATCATAATTGGATTTTTGTGATAAGAAATTCTCAGTAATAACCTGAACTAATTATCGTCCCAGCTTTGAAAAGAATACAGAGTGCACACTGTACGTTGTGTCTGCGTAAACATGCTTTGCACTATAATATCTCCTGCGCAGATGGCGTGTTTCAGTGAGATGGGTCACCATAGTAGAAACCATGCCGTGGTAGAAGATATTAATTATATGTTTGTAAATATATATTTTTTGGACAGGAATCACCTGCTCTTGCTCTTCGTCTTGCTGGCGAATTGATGCGTAAACTGAAATCTTTACAATTTAACCGTTACCGTATCATTGCTGTTGTTACGATTGGCCAGAGGAGGGCTCAATGCTACAATAACGCCATATCCTTCTTATGGGACCACGAGAGGGACGATTATGTCGATCTCCAAAGGGAAGATAGCTCAGCTTTCATTCAGGTCACAGCCTTTGGTGTTTATCTGGATTAAAAATATATTTTAAATGTACTTTTAGCATAAATATAAATATTATATTTATATTTTTAGTGGAAAAAATCTTTATAAAATTTATTTTTGTTTTGTGAACAATAGAAATTTAGTTTTATTGATATGTTTAATGATAGTTATTAGCAAGTATTTTATAGTAAAATAAATAATATTTAACGTCTATATTTTTGGGTGAAGTAATGTGTTTGTTGCTTCTTCACGCTATGAAGACTCAGTGTCACTCAACAGATTTGAGTAAATTTAGATACAGACATAGATTATCATGGCAATAGGAATTCCTCTAAAACTTTTTTTTATATTTTCTGAAACCATTTCGTATACTATCTAATGAATTACTATTAAAAATTGATATATTTTTCATGCTTTTATATTAACGCAAGTATATAACCTTACGTATATTAATATAATTATATAATAATTATATTAATATAATTAATTAAAAATACCTTAAGTATATAACTTGTGCATTGTAATTTATATGAGGCCCTAATAGATTGTGGGGACCATCACAACGATAAAAATCACAGTTTCGTTCACTCACACATCAGAAATCACATCGAATAAATTCGAGCAAGAGCTTCTGTAACCTGTTATTGCAATACTGTTATTGTGCCTGTGTATGGTATGTCTTTAGCTGAATGTTATCTAAAGACCTGAGCGAAACGGGTCGTTGGACTCTTATAAATTTCAATACAGAATTCTACTTCTAAAGATTTAATATGTAATTACACTTAAACAGATTTTAAATTCAGTTACCTTTTTATTTGAAAAGTACAACAAGACAAACAAAAGATATCTATATATAATAGCCAAAGACATAAAACAAAAGAGTCCAGTACTTTTTCTCCTGTATTTGTCTACAGATTTTCTTTTTTTTGTTTAGTAGCTGTTGAAAAACTATAGTATGATCAATAAAAAAATCCATAACGATTATAGTCCAATTTCGGCTATTTGATGGGATATGTATAAGCTTATCATTTGCAATATATACATAGGTAATATATGTTAAATGTGATTATATATATATATATATATATATATATATATATATATATATATATATGTTTCAACTTCATTATGCTAGATAAATATGCGAAAACAGATTGTGGTTACAACTCGCAGTGCTAGTTCAAACATGCAACGCTGTAGATCGTACCAATACAGCACTTCTATATAACAACCCCTGTTTCAATTTCGTTCCTTTAAAATTCATACCCTCATTTCAAAGGATCGTGTTAACTTTCTTTTGCTTTCGTATTTCTTGATGTTTATTTATTTTTATGTCAAGTATGCTCATTAGAGAATTATATTAAGACAAGAATAATGAAAGTGAAACTCTACTACTATGGTACACATCCACTTTTATTTCATTTCAAGAATATTTATATGGTATTTATTTATTTTAACGTTTCAAGTAAATATATGTGAGTTCAAATTAAAGAGCGAACTAAATGTTTGCATTAACCCACACTTTCTTGTGTTAAAACATCACTGAAGTAAAATTCAATTCATTTATTAAATAAATAAAATTTATTCCTTCCAATATTGAAATTTATTCCGAGGAATATATTTTTAATCAAAACTTCAACTTGTATCGAGACGAGGCTCATATTTCAATTTGTGCTCATAATCATATGTGTATCATAGATTATTAAAAAAATACATATTAATATGATATTTCTTTGACGACACGTTTGGCTTAGTTTGTATACCCTACTTCGTATGCCAGCGGACGCGGGTTCGAGTCCCGCTGGGGGCATTCATTTGTATGATGAACACGAATGTTTGTACTCCAGTCATGGGTGTTTACATTTATAATATGTAATTGTAAGTATAATTTAAAATTATATATGTGTAGTGTATCAACTATAAGGTATCCATAACACAAGCCATGTTGCTTACCATGAAATTAGATGGTGATCTGTGTTACGTCCCAACAGATTCATTATATTTATTTAGTTTTTTTTAAATACAATAAATATCTTTTCCAGTTTAGATTACATAATTTGCACAGTTCTTGAACGTAGTAAACGTTATAGTAAGTCACGATTGTTGACGGCATTTATTGAAGCCGTATAAGGTCAAGGCCAACAGTAATTTTATTGGAAATGGTTGTTTATTTACAGGAAAAACTATTTTTCAATCTACTTCAAGATATATTCGAACTACCCAATTTCAGTATCCTGTAATACACTTTTGAATTCCATGGCTCATGGGAAAAATAATCAAATCTGTAAATGTGCCTACAAGAGGAAATCTATACATACCTATAATAAAATTCTAACTAAGCCGAATCTGTACATTAAATATTTTTTGGAAAATCTTATTAAAATAGACATTATTATCGATACAGAGGTCGAATATATAGTTCTTAGAATTTTTGTCTGTCTGTCTATTACCGCATCACGGTAAAATCACTGAAGGGATTTTGATGAAATTTGCTATGATGGTAGCTGGTTGTCCGGGTCAACATATAGGATACTTTTTACTGCGGGAAAATATTTCATCTCTAAGAAATCTATACTAAACCTTTAATGATGTTCTCCTGACCGATTCCGGCCACGGCGGCCAACCTCATTGAGACTAGCCAACTGCGCAAGAGATATTATAGTGCACAAGTGTACGCGCAGACACAAGTGCACTCTCTATTCCTGTCACTCTCATACTCCGGTGGGACGACTGCTCGACACGACCGGTGAGAGTTAAGGCGCAGGACCGACGGCTTTACGTGCTCTCCGAGGCACGGGGGTGAAACACCGCCAACTTCCCAACTCCGGGCTGTTACTGAGACTTACTATATAGAAAGACTCAATAACTAAACTTGGCCCGACCCAGGACTCGAACCCAAGACCTCCGGGTGTGCAGCCGTACATGCTAGCCACTACACCACCGAGGCAGTTAAACCTTTAAACGTAAGTAGGGACGAACCCGAGCGGAGCGAGGGTGAGTCGCTAGTATTTCTATATGAAAATAAATAAATAGATTAGAATTAAGATATTTAACTTAAAAAAACCATGTATAGGTATTAAAAATAGAAAAGTTAGACTGGATCTATCATAGTGGATTATTAGTTTTAGCACAATGTGCGGACAATAGCATCACTCGATGACACATGCCAAGAGATGTGATCAGCTCTTGGTCGATGAAAACCTATCCTCATGGATCACTTCGAAGCAAACACATTGCTGATACCGCATGAACCATTTACCTCTTATTGATCCTAACATCCCCTTTGTCAATTGCACAGCGCACCAAACCTAGTCTCAAGAATCAGTCATCAAACATACTCCCAGGTACTTTTTTATATAGTACATTTTTATTCAACCAGTAAGCGCATGGCAAAAGAATGATTTTACTTCAGATCTTAAACTATTTGTTAACACATGACAAATTGGTAGCCAGTTACTGTACCCAAGCGACGCCTCTATTTATTCTGCTACAATACGAGGCGTAATAGACTAACTTGAGAAGTCTTTGTTTAATCATAATTAGCAAAATTTAGTGTATTTGATATTCCATTAAATATATATTCAAATTCATTTTGAATATATTAATATTCAAAATGGTGATAATTTAAGCAGTAAAAGCCTTACCAAATTGTTCTAGAAACATTGGAAATAAACATAGAAAGAAGTAGTTAAGTTGTGATAAATAGAAACTAATAATAAGAAATTATGATTAACTAGCGGCTTACCGTCGCTTCGCTCGGGTTTGCCTCAAGAAATACAAAAACAAATCTATCCCTCGGGAACCGTATAACCGTATTTTTCGGGATAAAGCGTATGTGTTTATAAATCTATATTATAATTAATTATAAATTTATGTAATATTAATATTACTATTCAAATAGTTTTTAGCGCCTCTTCATATTTGAAGGCAATGTTGATTTTGTGTTAACTTTCTACCGCTAATTATTTTTTCTTCTACCGACCTTCTCTCTCTGTAAATTGATATCGATTAAATCTTTACGTGTCTGCAATTAAACCTTTCTTTTTACACCTTAAATCTGTTAATTCAAAGACATGGTCCATCGACACGGATATTAAAGTTAAAAATAACCGGCGTATATAAAAATACTGGATTTGGCTGTGGAAAAATAAGTGAAATCACAAATTGTTCCGGGGTCATCATATCAAGACTTCGACAAGGCGTGGTTTATGGAATATATGCAGTATTTAAGCAATTTCAATACTTAATTTCCACCCAGTACTCTAATTCAGGTAGTATTTAAGGTGTTTTAAATGTATAAAGGTTAGTAAAATTATAAATTAATAATAATTCTGTAATTTTCACATTCCATTGTTTAAATTTCTTCCATATCACATAATATTACATTCATTGTCTTAATGATATAAGTATAATACTTATAATTGAAATGATATATGTAGATTTAATATGCATTATTGATTAATTGAAATAAGTTACAAATTACATCTAAATAATTGTAAATTAATATAATTGTAAAAAATTAATCTTTAAAATTATAAAGTTGTAAAATAAAGTAAAATTAAAACATTTACATATTTATCAGAGTTAAGAAAGTTAGATTGATTAAATTTCTTTAGTTTAAATAATAATAGTTGTTAATTTGACTTTGTATATTAAAAATTAGATACATTTCAGTTTGGTTCATTGCAAAATTAAAATTGTTTTATACTTTAAAACTGTTTAGTACTTAATCATAATAGTTATATATTATAGTTTAATCTTTTATTTGTATAACGTTCCAGGCTTTGATACTTGCTTCCCACAATGACTGACCGAGAGGAAAGAGAATTAATTAAAAAACGTGCAAGCTTTAAAGGCCGTCTTACGTTGTTTGGTAATTATTTAAGTCATTTGGAAGAATCAGTGAGCCAGTCTCAGGTAAACGAACTACAATTACGTATTAATAAAATGATTAACATTTTTGAACAATATGATGATATACAGTTTAAAATAGAATGCATAACAGAGGACATGGAAAATCAATTAGTTGTAAGAAATGATTTTGAGTCTCAATATTATAAATTGATAGCACAAGCCCAGGGTATAGTTACGCGCTTTTCTAAATCAAACGAAGCGAATGCTGAGAGTGACAAGAGTTCGATGCGAGCTAATAACAACAATAATCTCGTTAAATTACCCACTATACAATTACCAAAGTTCAGCGGATCCTACGATAATTGGTTAGAATTCCATGACACTTTTTCTAGTCTTATCCACTGCAATGAAGATATTGATGATATAAATAAGTTTCACTATCTAAGAGCGTCATTAGAGGGCACCGCTGCTGTCGTTATACAGTCCATTGAATTTTCAGCCAAAACTTATCCTGTTGCTTGGAAGATTCTTTGTGAGCGTTTTGATAATAAGCGTATGTTAATTCAGAATCATGTAAATGCATTATTCAACATTGATTCAATCAGTAAGGAGTCTTCTATGTCTATTAAACGTATGATTGATCAATTAAATAAAAATTTAAGAGCTTTAGATTCTTTAGGCGAGCCAACGAAGCATTGGGACACACTTCTTATACATATTGTTACTCAAAAACTAGATTGTAAGACATATCGTGAATGGGAGGAATTAAAGGGTCAGCTTAATAAGGATGAACCTTTAACTTTAGATGTGTTTTTTAAATTTTTACGTAGCCGTGCAGACCTATTAGAGGCTTTAGAATTACCACGCTGTAATAATTATTTAAATCAAACTGGAAAGATTAATACTAAATTTAAAAGTATGGTTTCTATCACAAGTTCACCTCGGGTAGGAGATGATAGATCTCCAATAGGTTCTTCGACCCCCAAACCCTGCCCAAAATGTAAAGGTGAACATCAACTTAAAAATTGCTCACAATTTTTAGGTCTTAATAATGAACAGCGTTTAAAACTTTTACCTAATTATAAAATTTGTTATAATTGTTTACATGTAGGACATTATGCGAATCAATGTAAAAAACCAGGTTGTAGAATATGTAAACGTAAACACAATACACTTATTCACGTTACAGATCTAAAATCACAATCACCAGTTAATGCTGGATCATTATGCATTGAAAATAGTGCTGTGTCTGACAAAAGTCCTACTTCTAACATAACCTTTTCGGCATATTTAAATAATCCAACGACAAGCAATCATGATGTACTGTTATCGACTGCCCTTATCAAGTTGTACGATTCACACAACCGGGAATACATCGCCCGTGCATTACTTGATAGCGGAAGTACATCATGTCTTATTACAGAAAATATGTGTAATAAATTAAGCTTGCCAGTTGATAATGTCGAAAAGTCAGTGTTAGGAATAAATAACTGTACTTTACCTATTGGTAAAATGTGCCGTGTGCAAATGAAGTCTTTAGATAACAATTATTCTGCACATCTTACCTGTTTTGTTTTACCATCGATAATAAGCAAAGTGCCTTACGGTCACGTAGATATTTCGATGTTAAATTTAAAATCAAATATTGTTTTAGCCGATCCTAACTTTTATACGCCAGGTGATATAGATTTAATTATAGGCGCTGATCTTTTCTGGGAATTGTTAGGGTCACAAATTATTAAATTAGGTACCGGCAAACCGATACTTTTTGAGACTAGACTTGGATGGATAGTTTCAGGACCCATATTAGGCGGTCATGTGTCGAATCGGTTACCGTCACATATTAAATGTAATTTGGCACAAATTGAGTCGATAGATTCAGTAGATTCTAATGAAGTTATTCAAGAGAATTTATCAAAGTTTTGGCATCTAGAAGAAATTAATGACAAATCTTCATATTATACTGAGGAAGAAAAAATGTGTGAGGAGCACTTTGTTAATAATGTGTCACGTCTTACAGATGGCCGTTTCTGCGTTAGGATTCCTTTAAAGGACAAGGTAAATCTTTTAGGCGAATCTTATGAGCGTGCAAAAAACTGTTTTTTATCTCTTGAACGTCGACTTGATAATCAACCTTTACTTAAGATTAAATATCACGATTTTATGTCAGAATATATTGCACTAGGACATATGTCAAAATCTGATTTAAAGCCTAATGAATTTTCTTACCTGCTTCCACATCATGGAGTGTGGCGTGATAGTAGTTCAACGACCAAATTAAGGGTTGTATTTAATGCTAGCAGTCCTACTACCACAGGTATTTCACTTAATCAAATTCAAATGGTCGGTCCCACAATACAGGACGACCTTTTAAGCATACTTCTTAGATTCAGACAACATAAATATATTTTATCTGCTGATGTAGAAAAAATGTATAGGCAGATTGCTGTACATCCAGATGATAGGTGTCTTCAACAAATTATATGGCGCGTTAGTAAATTTGATCCATTAGAGATATATAAATTAAATACTGTAACATATGGCACAGCGAGTGCACCTTTTCTAGCGGTACGTTGTTTAAAACAAATTGGTCTCGACTGTGCAGATGATAAAATACGTGAAATCATTATACACGACTTTTATATGGATGACCTACTCACTGGAGCTGATACTATTGATGAACTTTTATATATTAAGCAAAATATTACCAACGCTTTAAATTCAGCTCAAATGCCACTTAGAAAGTGGAAGTCAAATGCATTAAATTTTGATAATGATGAAATTACAACTACCTCTTTAAATTTAAATATTGGATCTGATAATCCTAATATAAAGTTAGTTCTAGGCTTAGGTTGGCAATCAGATTCCGATGAACTTTGTTTTAGTATAAATAATAAAATCCCCAGTGTCATGACTAAACGTACTATACTTTCTGTAATTTCACAAATTTTTGATCCCTTAGGCCTACTCGCCCCCTGTGTTATTAGTATGAAATGCTTATTACAGAAATTATGGCTACTGAAATTATCATGGGACGATCCTTTACCATCAGATATATCAAGATCTTGGAATGAATTTATTATCAATTTACCCTTACTTAATGATCTGCGCATTATACGTAACGTTTTAGTAGATTCTTATACATATATAGATCTTCATGTTTTCTGTGATGCTTCACAATATGCTTATGGAGCATGTTTATATATTTGTAGCGGAAATGATAACGGTGAAACTTTAGTTCGATTGCTCATGGCAAAAAGTCGAGTGGCTCCAATCAAACCTATGACCATGCCGAGACTGGAGCTTTGCGGAGCACTTGTGGCGTTACGGCTTTATGAAAAGGCGACTAATGCACTTCGAGTCAAGGTAAGACGTACGTTTTTTTGGACCGACTCTTCTATCGTATTGGGGTGGCTTAAAATGGTACCTAGTAAATTACAACCCTTTGTACGCAACAGAGTTGGAGAAATTTTGGAAAAGTCTCTTAACTGTATTTGGAAGCATGTTCCCACTCATGATAATCCCGCCGATCATATTTCCCGTGGAGTTGATGCTAAAACTATTATGTCACTAGACATTTGGTGGTCTGGGCCAACGTTTTTAAAACGTGATATGTCACAATGGCCTACTCATCCCAAAATTGTTGGGCCACTTCCGGAATTGCGTTCTGTTATAGCAGTAAATGTTGCAATCACAAATAATGATGATAATGATTTTATAAATTTTAGTAAATTTTCAAATTTTTCTAGGCTTAAACGCACAGTAGCATATGTTTTACGGTTTGTTCGAATTTGTAAAAAGGATTTTATCAAAGATAAATTTTTAACGGTAGATGAATTGGATAATGCATTAAATATTTTAATTAGAATATCACAAAAGCAGTCCTTTCCAGAATATGACTTGTTGATTAATCATAAAAAATTACCAAATAAAAGTCAATTAATAAAATTAAACATTTTTATGGATGAATCCAATATTATACGTGTTGGAGGGCGTCTAGAACATAGTGATTTTCCTTATAATAAAAAACATCCAATATTAATCCATTCTAAGCATTCCTTTACAAAATTATTATTTCATTTTGAACATAAACGCTTGCTACATGCAGGTCCGCAATTATTATTGAGCACTATTAAAGAAACATTTTGGCCAATAGGAGGCAGGAATTTGGCCAAATCATGTTACCGGCAATGTCTTCGTTGCGCTCGAGCTAGGGCTAAAATAGTAACCCCTATTATGGGAAATTTGCCATCTAGTCGTGTATCTGTAAGTTTTCCTTTTGAAAATGTAGGAATAGATTATGCAGGGCCTGTTATGATTGTAAGCCGTCAAGGACGTGGATCTAGACTAGTTAAAGCGTATATTGCGGTTTTTGTCTGTTTTTCCACAAAGGCTATGCACTTAGAATTAGTGAGTGATTTAACGAGTAATTGTTTTTTGTTAGCTTTGCGTAGATTTATGTCCCGTATAGGGAAACCAAAAAATATATATACAGATAATGGAACTTCATTTGTTGGCGCGTTTAATGATATTGCAAATTTTTTGAAAACTAACGTTGTTACTTTATCTGAGACTGTGGCTGATGACGGAATAAAATTTCATTTTACTCCAGCATATTCACCTCATTTCGGAGGTCTGTGGGAAGCAGGCGTCAAATCCACAAAATATCATTTAGTAAGAGTACTGGGCAAATGTAATCTTACATATGAGGAGTTATATACTGTACTAGCACAAATTGAAGCTGTGTTGAACTCCCGACCACTGACTTATTTATCCACGGACCCTGCGGATTTGACACCATTGACCCCGGGACATTTTCTTATTGGGCGATCACTTTCGTCCCTTCCGACTCCCAACTACGAAAATGAAAATGTTCACAGGCTGAATCGTTACCAGAGAATAGAACAATTGCGTCAACAATTCTGGAAGCGGTGGAGCAAAGAATACATCTCTGAACTTCAAACAAGAATGAAATGGCAAAAGTCTGAAGCTCAATTAAAATTAAATAGTCTCGTTCTCGTAAAAGATGATAATCTACCACCACTCAAATGGAGACTTGGAAAAATAACGAACGTTCATCCAGGAACTGATGGTGTAATTAGAGTGGCAGATATCAAGACTTCAAATGGAATCATCCGAAGGGCTTTCAGCAAAATCTGCCCACTACCGCAACCCGAAGATTGTTGAAAGTCCTACTTTCAACGCCTGGGGGCATGTTTATAAATCTATATTATAATTAATTATAAATTTATGTAATATTAATATTACTATTCAAATAGTTTTTAGCGCCTCTTCATATTTGAAGGCAATGTTGATTTTGTGTTAACTTTCTACCGCTAATTATTTTTTCTTCTACCGACCTTCTCTCTCTGTAAATTGATATCGATTAAATCTTTACGTGTCTGCAATTAAACCTTTCTTTTTACACCTTAAATCTGTTAATTCAAAGACAGTATGTGTTATTCCAGACTATAATCTATCTCTGTGCCAAATTTCAACCAGATCCGTTTAGCCGTTCTGGCGTGAAAGAGTAACAAACATACATCCATACATACATTCTTACAAACTTTCGCGTTTATAATATTAGTAGGATTTTATTTTTAATTTTTACTTACAAGATGATATCTTGTATATGTATTAACTATATAATTTATTTGTACGCTTGTGTGTCTAATTGTGAACAATACATTCCTAATTATACGTTACAACTGATAGCTATGTAATTTTGGTAAGAATTTTTGACATAACCTCAAAGTACATATTATACAACGTATAAGTTGTTGAAGAAGCACTTGAGTCACATCTGATAATTTAAGCTGTATTAGTCTAAACACAGCGGGTATAACCAGAAAGTAATATGTACAATATAGGTTGCTTTAAAACTGGGCAAAGCCAGTGTGGGTCGCTAGTATGTTATATAACCTTAATATTTTCTAAAAATGGTATAACATGACAATTTCTTTTTGTGAAGTTTCAAATATTTAAATTAAAGTTGGGTTATACGAAAACCAACAGCAAGTCGAACTTCCAAGTAAAGTTTTCCGAGAACATCGTGCGTCCCGACTCTCGTCGATACAAAAACTTTGCTGGAGCCCGCATGGGAAAGGATTAACTGCCTTTGTCCATGAAGTCAGTCAACTAAAAGTATTTATACAAGATTATGACCATAATAGTATATTACTTTGATGTGATAATTACTTTGGAAGTTTGGAAGCTCTTTGAGTGGAATGCTTAAAGGACGGTTAAGTTGCGTTAGATTAGGCAGGTTTGTGGTCCCCCCCAACGTGCGTTCACCTTGTCGTGGTGGGGGGGCTCAGTAGTAGTAGCGAAGCTAAGAAACGCACAGGGAGGTTGCCCACTTCGGTGGGTGGTGGGAGGTGCCCTCTTCGGGGGGCGGTGTACCATGCGGGTTGCTCCTGGTACTTCTCTGATAGCAGAGTGGACTGTGGAGCAACCCCATGGTTGTGGTGGTCTGCTTCGGCAGACCTGCCGTCGGGGCGTCGTAGTTGAATGCGTAAGCGATCCTGCGACGCCCCATTAAGACGGGGGAAGGTTTTGTTGGGTTTTAGTGGGTAGTACTGGCTGTATTACGCCGGTGAGTCCCACACGTCGTGCGTAAATGCATTTCCCAACGTTAAAAAAAAAAAAAAAAAAAAAAAAGGCAGGTTTGTGGTGGGTGTATCTACTATATATAATATGTGTATATTTTAATCATTGAAGCTTTTGGTAATATTATATATCAATTTACTTGTAAATAAGCTTTTATAAGATATATACATCGTAAGTACCTATACATCTATTTTTTTTACAGTAGCACAATAGAAGACAAAAAGGGAGTCACAAATCTAACATTTCTAATGCTATCTATAGGCTAAAAATCTATGTCATGACTAAAAATAATACAATATAATTATAATTTTATATAAATTTTTTAAGGTATAAAGAAAACAAATGCATAAATTAGACACTTTTTTTACTCATTGCCTAATATTATGATTCTACAGTTTCAAATAACATTATTACAAATCGCATTGTAAATCGTAGTACCGGTTACTATAGCAAAACAAACTTCGTATAATTTACACGCTCGTAAAACACTAAACGGACTCTATCTTGTAAATACCTTAAATTTCCATCCTTTAATTATATTTAAAGTCATTAACAGCACCATTTAACGCTGTCTTTTGCAATTTAGATTGTAATATTTGAAATCGGACTACTATTATTAATACGAAAGTTTCTATGTGTGTGTGTTTGTTACTCCTTCAGATAAACCTGAAACGGCTGGACGAATTTAGATGAAATTTTTGTATAGAATAGACTATGTTCTAGAATAACGTAACAAATCTTCACATATAACAAAATTGTAACTAAGCCGAATCTGTACATTAAATATTTTTTGGAAAAATTGAACTAGACATTATTATCGATACAGAGGCCGAATCTATAGTTTTTAGAATTTTTGTCTGTCTGTCTGTTACCGCATCACAGACAAACTACTGGAGGGATTTTGATGAAATTTGGTATGGTGATAACTGGTTATTCGGGTCAGCATATAGAATACTTTTTACCGCGGGAAAATGTCTTATTTCTGAGAAAAAATACAAAGACTGCAATGTAAGAGTATACTAATATGTAAAACCTAAGAATGTAGTTTTTGGTCATCTGAACGCGGGCGAAGCCGCGGGCAATGCTAGTGTTATGAATAAAATTTGACAAAAGATGGCGCGGCGCGGCGCTACTGTATAAAATATAATACATAAGGCACCAAGAGATGCACCCGAGCAAAGTGAAGTTAAATTGGTATTAGTATATGCATTTGAATATAACGAAGTATTGTCGGTAGTATAAAATTTTATTGGCTCTTAGGTGATTGGGCGGTTATGACCGTTAAAGTTTACACATACAATATTCTGAGGCACGTTCCTCAACGCTACAAATTTTTATCATCACTGACGTCGCATTCTTTGATATCGGGACATAGAATGAATTGCAAATAAAATCAAAGTGTTGTAATTTTAAAATTTTCTCTAGAGATAAAAGTATTATATTCTAAAATAAATATTAGAATGAATTTTTAAGTGCTATTAAGACGTATAATATTTAAGTAATTTGTACGTGACTTAAAACAGAAAAACTAAGTACATACATAAACTTAAACAATAGTTATATATAGAAAACTGGATATATAATTATAATAATCAATATATAATTATAATAATCAATAATAATTATAATAATCAACGTAAAATGTATCTTTTATACAGAGAAACTTATTAAACCGGAGATTTTAATAATTTTAACTATCAATTAATTACCTATAGTAAGTACAAAATTTCGATCGTAATAATATTTTCATTTCAAATTCTAGAAGAGTCAGTACATTTCAGGTTTTAATATAAAAAAGAAGTTTATGGGTATAGCTTAAAAAAACTGTTGTCTGTTAATTTTCAGCCAATACACCTGTACCTGTATTATATTACTGTTTGTATATATGTATGTAAGTATTCAGCCCCTTTTTTTAAAGTCCCCTTCAATACGAGGGGGATCAGACCATAGTCCACCACGCTGGCCAAGTGCGGGTTGGCAGACTTCACGTTTTTCGAAAACTTGCTAGGTTTTCTCACACATGCAGGTTTACTCACGATGTTTTCCTTCACCATAAGGCAACAGGGTAATCATGTTAGAAATGATTCGCACATGAAAACATCAGATGTGTTAGACCCAGGATTTGAACCTGCTTCACTCGGTTTGCCAAGCGAGCGCGTTACCACTGGGCTACTACTGCCTTTTGTTTTACTGTTTACTTGAACTAATAAATCGAAGAATGAGAATCAATGTCAGGGTTGCGTGCAGCGATGCACGACAATATGCTTCAATAGGCATTTCCTCGTCACGGAACTCAAATCGCTTTGCAGGTTCTTCAAATTTATTCGAAATTGTATTACATGTTAACAAATTTTTTAATATTTTGTACTTGAAAATTAGAAATGTGTGGATTCTGGCCTTTCTTACTTTTTATATTATACATATTTTAAGGAATGGGTTAACTAAAGCTGTAGATATATATATGTATTTATAATACTATCGATATCTATGAGCAAAGTTATTTATATCTATCCATAAGTTTATTAAGCACTAGCATTGCCCGCGGCTCCGCCCGCGTTCAGATGACCAAAAACCAAATTCTTAGGTTTTACATATTAGTATACTCTTACATTGCAGTTTTTGTATTTTTTCTCAGAAATGAGACATTTTCCCGCGGTAAAAAGTATCCTATATGTTGACCCGGATAAGCAGCAATCACCATACCAAATTTCATCAAAATCCCTCCAGTGGTTTATCTGTGATGCGGTAATAGACAGACAGACAGACAAAAATTCTAAAAACTAAAGATTCGGCCTCTTTATTGATAATAATGTTTATTTCAATAAGATTTTCCAAAAAAATATTTAATGTAGAGATTCGGCTTAGTTACAGTTTTATTATATGTATAGATATAGATAATTTTAGATAATGCTACACTAAATTATAAAATATTTACTCTTTAGTATCAATATAGAAGACATAATAATTGATAAAAAAATATTATTTTTAATTGATTATACTAAAATAATATTTTAAATATTAATATAGGTGCACCAAAGTATTATTAATTTTTATTTTATTATTGATATCCACTTACGTAAAAATCATAAAACATGCGAATAATACGTTTTCAAACAGTCATTTTATTACTTTAACAGTAATAAAATCATTGTAACATTTAAAATATTTTGTTCGATATCATAAGTGTTGCTAGTTTTAAACCATAAAAGCTGAAGAATTATCTTTGCTCGCGTCAAAACTCGATGAAAACCAATATAGAAGTAGAATACGTCGCAAAATATCGGGACGTTCATAAAAACATTTACATAGAAAATATTGAGTTGAAACAATGACGGCGAGACGGTTGAATGTATAATAAATAGCTCGAACTTAACAATAAATAAACAATATTTGATTAAAACTTCACTACCAAATTACCAATCGTGTTTTATTTAAATTAATTTTCAAAATACATTTCAGTAGCAATTATTATACAGTAAGTTATTCTTTTGGAATTATTAGAAGTTCACATTAGGGATTTTACTTGAACTTTAGTACATACTATATTTTTTATAATATGTATGTATTTAAAGTTATATATGTGTAGTGTATCAACTATGTGGTATCCATAACACAAGCCTCGTAGCTTACTATGGGACTAGATGGTGCTGTGTGTTAATGTCCCAACTTATTTATTTATTTATATTTATACTAGCTTCGTCCTCCTGGCTCGCTCGATGTATTATCTGTAAATTATTTTAATGTGTTCATTAAATATGTGAAAGTGCAATAGATAGTAAATTTCAATCAAAAATATATTGTTTTTAGTATAATATTAGATTGCTCTACTTCATCCCCTTAAAATTCAAATATTATATCAAACAACCTTTCCCTGTAGTGTAAATTTAGGCATACGTTATCAAATTTAGGGCTGTAATAGTTTGGTAGAACGCGATAGTAAAGGAGTATTTTATATAGATAAACATACATACAAAAGATGTAGCCAAAATTCTCAACTTCATAGATAAAAACGCTTGAAGTTAAAAACAATCGCAAATTAAAATGTAGGTTGAGACTCTCGATGAAAATTCCCTGACTGTTTTTTCATAGCAGACTTTTAAAATAGTTGACTAATGAGACATGAATAAAAGTTTAATTAAATTATATAAGGAATATTCGGAGTGACGTAAATTCATAGTTAATGGTGCTCATAATAGGTACTTTCTTAGATTAATGCGAATATTTGACATCTATAGATATAATAAAATTCTAAGTCGAATCGGTACATTAAATATTTTTTTGGAAAATCTTATTAAAATAGTCATTATTATGCATACAGAGGGCGAATCTATAGTTTTTAGAATTTTTGTCTATCTGGCTGGGAACGCATCACGACAAACCCACTGGACAGATTTTCATGAAATTTGGTATGATGGTAGCTGATTATCCGGATCAACACATAGGATACTTTTTAGTGCGGAAAAATATCTCATTTCTGAGAAATCTATAGTTACTGTCAAA